AGAATGGCATGCAATTTAAAAGTTATTAATTATTTCTGGAATTTTCCATTTAATACTTTTGAGTCACAGTTGACCCTGAGTAACTAAAACTATGGAAAGCAAAACAATAGACAAGGGGTGACTACTGTACTGGTCATGTGATGAACCTTACAAATGGAAATCACATGCTCTTTAGTTCTGGAAATGTTTTTTAAAGGTTGTGTCCTATCTACTGTTTCTCTTCTCTCCTGCTAAAACATATTTTTTTATCCATTTATTTTATCATTCTTATTTCTCCTATTTTCCACTTATCTCTTTCTTTTTTTCATTCTGCTTTTAGAGTGATTTCTTCAATGTTATCTTCTTATTACTTTATTGAGTTTTCCATTTCTGTTATCACATTGTTAATTTCCAAAGGCTCTTTATTTGGTTCTCTGAAAGTTTCCTTTTTCTTTCTTTTTTTTCAGACAGAGTCTTGCTCTGTTGCCAGGTGCCAGGCTGGAGTGCAGTGGCATGATCTTGGCTCACTGCAACCTCTGCCTCCTGGGTTCAAGCAATTCTCCTGCCTCAGCCTCCCAAGTAGCTGGGACTACAGGCACACGACACCATGCCCAGCTAATTGTTTTTGTATTTTTAGTAGAGACGGTGTTTCACCATGTTGGCCACGATGGTCTTGATCTCTTGACCTTGTGATCCTCCCACCTCCTCGGCCTCCCAAAGTGCTGGGATTACAGGTGTGAGCCACCATGCCTGGCCTAAGTTTCCTTTATCTTTTTCAAAAAAGGCATCTTGCTTTGTTTCATCTAAGCATCCTCTCTTACCTGTCTGAAGATATTAATGATAGTTTTCTGAATTCAAAGTTTTCATTTCCTTGCATAACCTCTGCTTTCAAAAAGGTTTTTTTTTTTTTTGAGATGGAGTTTCTCTCTTGTTACCCAGGCTGGAGTGCAATGGCATGATCTCGGCTCACCGCAACCTCTGCCTCCTGGGTTCAAGCAATTCTCCTGCCTCAGCCTCCCGAGTAGCTGGGACTACAGGCATGTGCCACTGTGCCCAGCTAATTTTTTGTATTTCTAGTAGAGATGGGGTTTCACCATGTTGACCAGGATGGTCTTGATCTCCTGACCTCGTGATCCACCCACCTCGGCCTCCCAAAGTGCTGGGATTACAGGCGTGAGCCACCGCGCCCGGCCCAAAAAGTTTTATCTGTTTGGTTTTTGCCTCATTTTTTTCATGTCACTGCCATTCCTCTGAAGTCTGGTGATCCCTGGCTCTCTGCAACTATTTAAGAGAGGGACACTAAAAGCTGGTAGAGCCCTGTGCTCAGAGGTGGGGATTTTCAACTGCGGATCTCACTGCAGGGAGGTTTGATCAGTCTTGTTCACTGGGGAGTTCCACTCAGAATCACTGGTTATTTCTTTTCAATTTGGCCAGATCTCTAGAAGAAAATCTCATCTGGGGAGTCAGTCCTGGCTGCTATCATTGTGAAATCTGAGTGGAGAAGGTGGTTGGGACTACAGAAACTATAGCTTAATTTCCCATGTCTGTGGTCTGGAGCTCTCGCCCTCAAAGGCTGTTGAGGTCTCTCAGTTGAGAGGTTTTCCACTTCACTCACCTAGAGGGAGAAGTCTCAGTATTCTGCCAGGGTGAGGAGCAGTCAGTAGATGAATGCCTCAGGAAGGAATTGGATGTTCTAACTATTCCTTAATGGAACTTTAAATTCATCTTCACTCCAACTTCCAGAAGTAGCAGATGCTACTGATTTCTGAGCTTTGTTGTTGTGTTGGTTCCATGTTTGCTTCTCAGATTTCCCACTGCTGGTTTAGGATTTAGATTTCTTTAATCACTGAATTAGTCACCACTTGCCTTCTGCTTTCCAGCTTCTAAATGTTGAGGTATAGTTTCCTCTTCCATTTATCCTGTATTTATGGATTTGTCTTTTTATCTTATTGATTCTTGAATCCCTTTAGTGTTAATTTAGTAGGACCCCAAGAGGGAGGAGAGGTGTGTTGGGTTTCTATTGCTGCCCTAACAAATTACCACAAACTTAGTGGCTTAAACACCGCAGAATTTGCTGACAGTTCTCTAGGCTGGAAGAGTGATGGGGATTCACAGGGCTGAAGTCAAGGTGCTGACAGGTGTGTTTTCCATTCTGGAGGCTCTGGGCTCATTTGGGATTCAGGAGAGTTTAGTTCTTTGTGGGCGTTGAACTGATATCCCTGTTGCTTGCAGGTTGTCACCTGAGGGCCATTCCCAGCTTCTAGGGACCACTCACATCCCTTGACTCACGGTTCCTTACTCCATCTTCACAGCCAGCAATGGTGGGTCGAGACCCTCTCACACTCTGAATCTCTCTTCCTTCTTCTGTCATTGGATCTGTCTCTGACCACAGCTGGGCAAGATTCTCTGCTTTTAAAGACTCATAAGATTAGATTGGCTCACCCACATGGTCAGGGATAATCTCCCCTGCCTAAGCTCAGATCCTTCCTCACATCTGCAAAGTTCCTTTTGTCATGTAAGATAACAGAGTGAGAAGTTTCAGAGATTAGAGAGTGGACATTTGGAAGGTGGGGTCAGCCCACCATGGGAGTTAAATGCACACATTTAATCCTCATATTTGACTGACAGACTCCATTGGTGAGCTCTTAGGGAAGGCTAATAAGATTGACCAGGACAGGGAAGGATTCAAAAGTCATGCCTATGGGAAAGTGAATATACTGAATGTTTTAGCTCAGAAGATAGGAAACTGGAGATGAGAGATACTTATAAATCATTTGCATACAGTTAATACGTTTTTATGTGTAACATAAAGCAAATTTGTTTTGAATAAACCCAGGAGGAAAAACTAGGATTGGTATAGAAGGCTAGAAAAAGACAGATTTTGGCCTAACAAAGGAATGTTCTAAATTAAAGGCTGACTAATAATCAGGAGATGTATCTCAGGAGGTAGTGATCATTCTTTATTAATGTTAGCGTAGGGACAATGTACTAGGTAAACTGACATGTTATTCAATCATTCATACATTTAAACCCATATGCTGATTACTTCATTTTCCAAATTTTCATTTACAGTCAAAAGTGGTTGGTTATTATTATTAATATAACATTTTGAGAGTAAGAGAGAGAAAGCACTGACATACCTTTTATTACAGCATATTGTTATAATTATTCCATTACTATTGATTGGGATAACATCTTAGTGTGACTAATTTATAATTTATGCTTTGTCATCAGTATCTATGTATAGAAAAAATTACAGTATATACAGGGTTAGATATTATCTGCAGTTACAGCATCAACTGGGAATCTTGGGATATATTCCCCCTTCAATAAGTGGGGGACTCCTGGATGTGGCAAAGAGAAGTTAAAATAGTTTATTTTCTGTCCTGAAAGAATTTGCAATAGAATATTTTATGACTCTCTCTCTGACTTCACTCTTGTTCCTCATTCTCTCCATTTATTCAATAAACATTTACTGAGCTCCTGCAATGACCAGACGCCATTCTAGGCATTGAGGATACATCAGTGAATGAAACAGAACTCTCTGCCCGCAAGGGACTTACACTCTAGAGGGAGCGCAGAAAAGATGACTTCAACTGAGCTCTGTCCTCTGCCTGTTCAGCATCTCTGGCTTCAGTCTTCTGTCACCAACTGTGACCGTCATTCAGTCTTTTTGTGGCACTTCGCTCAGTAACTGCAGTGACACTTAAATGGCCTCTGCTTTAATCCGTCCCACACCCCTCTTGCAGATTGATCCTGCTGAAGCAGGGCTTACTTAACTGACCTCTCTTGGCTTCCTCTTGCAGGCAGAAATCAGTGCAAGCCTCTTAGCCGGGCTCTCCAGGCCCTTCAAGCTCAGGTGGTCATTAGCCTCTCCACCTGCCTTTCTGGCGATTCCTCTTCAGGTCACTTTGTTACAGAAGGATGAGCCTCTCCTTACTCTCTGCTCACGCCCCATACCCTCCTACAGGCACCTCTTTGCTTTTGCTGTTCCCCTGGCCGGGGATAACTTTTCTCTCTCTTTAGTCAAATCTTTCCCATCTTCTAAGTCTCAGGTCAAATATCACCATGTTTACAGAACTTTCCATGGTTTGTTAATACCGTTACTTTCCTCTGAAGCCCATGACACTCAGTGCACTCCTGCCCACATCATTTAGCTTCATGTAAGCACATATTCTCTTCTCTTTCATGTCACATGGAAGTTTGGTAAAGCAGAATTCATGCCTGACATATTTTGTTATCCTCAATGCTGTACCCATATGGATTTCTAGAATGACTAAAGTAAAAAACATGGAAGTGAGTTCTAGTTTAATTTAAGACATGTGGCGAGCTAAATATAGTGGCCCACATCTATAATTCTAGCACTCTGAGATGCCAAGGCAGGAGGATCTCCTTAGGCCAGGAGTTCAAGACCAGCCTAGGTGGGACTCCATAGCAAGACTCCATAGCCAAATTATGTCTCTACAAAAAAATTTAAAAACAGCCAGGCCTGTGCCTGTAGTTCTAGCTACCCAGAGGAGGGAGGATTGCTTGGGCCCTAGAGGGCAAGACTACGATGAGCTGTAATCACACCACGGCATTCCAGCCTAGGCAACAGAGTGAGACACTGTCTCAAAAAAAAAAGAAAGAAAGAAACATAAAGTGTATTCATCTCAATCTGCACAAAGAATTACAAACTGCATCCTTTGAGCGAATTGCTTATGGAAAGCAGCTGGCAGGCAGCTTCCTTTTTCTTACCGGAGACATCAAATACCTGTAACCTGAAAGGGCAGTAGGGTCGTTTGTCCATCCCCCTGGTTTAGTGGAGGGCTTCATAAAAACTCTCCTACATGGAATAAGTCATCTTTGGACAAGTCAGCCGCAGGATCCTGAGTGCCACTTTGGAAACTGTTGCATAATTTACCAATCTGGAACAGAACTATTTGCAAGTCTGAACTCCACGTTTTAGTTAGAGTAAAACATGGGTGGCGATCCCATTGCCGGCTTTCTCCCCCGGGCTCACTGGAAAGTCAGAGCCTCACCTGAGCAGGGGACGTGGCAGTGGTTCTGCTCCTGCAGCGTTCCTTGTCTGCACCAGGTGAAGCTGTTGATCTGGAAGATGCCGTAGTCGATGCTGCCGTCATCCAGGACCGTCTGGGCCGTGGTGTTGTAGCCGCTCTCGTAATATGCCATGCAGATCCCTGGAGGGGCAAAGCCAGAAATGCCAGCAAAAGAAGTGCATCGCTTGCTCTAAGCCTGGTCTGAGGGTGCGTTTCCTGATCACGGTTCCCTGACTGCTTCCTCCCAACACACCTCGGGGCGGGGCAGGACAGGCGGGCACCCTGAGGGGCACATGGGGGCTGGGAGGGGGCACCTGAAGCTGGACACCCAGTTAGGAGCTGAGCCTAGACAAAAGTCAGGTGCCCTCCCCACAGTGCCAGCAGAAGTGGCATTATTTTCCCTTCCCCGATGGTGTCCTGAGGACAGGACTCCAGGAATAAGGAAATCAGGGGCAGGGGAGGAAGGAGAGGAGACCCAGAGAGCCACAGTTAGGCTAGCAGCCAGCCCTGGGTGCGGTGGGGGCAGGGCATGGACCGCTGGGAAGACGCAGCAGGGAGTGTGGCCGGGACCTTCAGCATCTCAGGGCAGAGGTCAAGGACAGAAAGAGATCAGGAAAGAAAGAATCTCACAGTTTCCAAGGCTGAAGCCCCAGTAATTGTCCAGGCCAGCCCTCGAGAATATTTTTGCCAGTTTGCAGCGAGTGTAGATTTTGGACTCGGCGCCTATGACCAAGCAGCCAATCAGGGTCAAAAGGCCCGCAGCCTTCATCCTCAAAGTCTGCTGGAGACAGAACCTGCCAAAGAGCAGGAGACCGGGTCAGACGATCTTGATTCGGGAACTCTGAAATCCAGGGGCGGAGACTATGCACAGCCCTGCCTAGATGCTGCCTGTCACTTTGGTCATTCAGAGCCACCATCAGGGAAAACTGGCCACTCCACAGTGCAGGGAAGGAACGCGACTGCAGGCTCTTTCCCTAATGCTTTTCCCTACAGTGACTTCCAAGTCAGCGCTGTGTTCTCAGGATTCAGCAAGTGAAAAAATTAACCCTCCTTAATACACATCCAGGTGAAACTTTTAGGATTTCTATTTGAATTCTATGAATAGAAAATAGAATACAAGGGTGAAACATTCCCTATACCACGGACCCTTGAACACATGGCTTTGAACTGCGTGGGTTCATTTTTTGGGAATTTTCTTCTGCCTCTGCCACCCCTGAGACAGTAAGACCAACCCCTCCCCTTCCTCCCACGCCTCAGCCTGCTCAGTGCCAAGACAACCGGGATGAAGGACTTAACGATCACCCACTTCCACTTAACTAAGAGTAAACGTGTCTGCTCTTCCTTATGCTTTTTAAATAACATTTTCTTTTCTCTAGCTTACTTTATGTAAGAGTACAGTACAGAAGACATAGAACATAAAATATGTGCTTATTGGCTGTTTATGTTATTGGTAAGGCTTCCAGTCAGCAGTAGGCTATGAGTCGTTAAGTTTCTGGGGAGTTGAAAGTTACATGCAGATTTTCAGCTGGGCAGGTTTGGCGCCCGCCCCTGAACCTTGCATTTGTTCAAGGATCAGCTGGATGTGTAGAAATAGACACCCCATTTCATCCAGAGATGAAAGACCCATGGGGCTGTATGGACAACTTGAAGGTTTATTGTTTGGGGGTTTATTGAAGGGTGAAGATGAAGCACCTAATCTTTCATTTTCTTTTCTTGATTCATTTCCAAATGTGGGCATGTTGCTTCCAAAATACCAATGTTTTATCTGAGATTGCAAATGCACTGTTTTGCTGGGCTTCACCACCAGTGCTTGGGGGCCTCCTAAAAGCCTGGCACCTGACTGGGGAGCAGGATGGATGGATGACGATGCCTCAGGAAAGGAGCACAGTGCCTGGGGGAGCAGAGGGGCATCAAGAGGGCCCGCCAGAACCATGTGAAATGGGAGTAGGATCAAGAGCGCCATCTCCTGCTGCCTACTCATTTCCCACAGTCTCTTCCACTCTTGGAATGATGTCTTCCCCAAACACGACAGCCTTGCTGGAATAAGGTGAAGTGAAATTTCTGACACCTGCTTGGGATCCTGAACTGGATGTTCATCCATGTGTTCATCCCGTGTCATTTTCTGCACATGCCTAGAAACTTCTCCAGTCACTGGTTTCTCTCCCTGGGGCTGGATTCCTGCATTGAAAGCCTAGGCCCAAGACAGGACTAGTATTCATCAGCAAGGCCATCACCCTGAGTAACAAGCAGGGCTCTAAGGTGACTAAGCAATAAGGTAAGGAACTGCACTTCATGAGGGGTATGTACATTACGAACGTGAATAGCAAGGTGGGCAAACCAGGCCTGCTTTTGTATGTAAAGTTTTATCGAAACATAGCTACACCCATTTGGTAATATATTGGTGGCTGATTTCCAACTACAGCGGCAGAGTTGAGTAGTTGTGTTAGACGCTGTATGGACCACAAAGCCTAACATATTATTATCTGGCCCTTTTCAGAGAAAGCATGCCAGTCCGTGGCATACAGCATTGTGTTAAGCTGTAAGAGGCAGACAAACGAGGTTTAAGATGCAGAGCTTAGGCTGGGCACGGTGGCTGATGCCTATAATCCCAGCACTTTGTGAGGCTCAGACAGGCAGATCACTTGAAGCCAGGAGTTTGAGACCAGCCTGGGCAACAAAGGTAGACCCCTGTCTCTACAAAATATACAAAAATCAGCCAGGCATGGTGGTGTGTGCCTGTGGTCCTAACTACTTGGGAGGCTGAGGTGGGAGGTTTGTTTGAGGCTTGGAGATTGAGGCTGTAGTGAACTGTGATTGTGCCACTGAACTCCAGCCTGGGCAGCAGAGTGGGACCCTGTCTCAAAAAAACAAAACAAAACAAAAAAAATGCAGAGCTTACAAATAAAGTGGGTTTCCATCCCCTGACTTAGAATGTTACTGATCTCAAACAAGTCAAAAGAAAACCCACAGCAATAGTAACCCCAAGCATCATGTTCTGCATCCTTCCAGAACCTGCCATTGCTGGTTCTCTGGGACAGGTGGCATCAGAGTAATTTAGGCCTTACTGAAAATGCAGATTCCTGGTGCCTGCCCCAGAGGCTGACTTCTCAGGCGAGTCTGCGGAAGAAGCACGCTCTACTTACTCAGTCTGTGACTGGCAGCTCAGGTGAGTTTCCTGCATCCCCTGAAGCCATGTCTGATTCCTACAAGCCACCAGTAATCCTTTCCTAGCTCAAGAACCTTTCATTAGAATGTTAGAGAAAGAAAAATTCTTAACACCTTTGTTTCTCACCACTTAGAGATGCTAGAATTCTACTTCCTGGGACTAAAGGCCATGTTATCCTGCTCGCTTGTGTTCTGAGGCAGGTGATAACTGTCTTCTGGGCCTTAAAACCTTCATTTTTTCTCTCTTCCCCTCAACAGCCTCCTCACTACACAGCTTGGCCAGGGCCTCCCATCCAAGTGAGAGCTCTTCTCTAAGTCAACAGTCTGCAAACTTTATCACAGACTCCATTAATAAACAAGGTTAAGCATGTATCCCCTTTAGATGTATATTACATTATGAATCATACTTCTGTACCTCTGTACTAATATGCTACATAAATTATCAACATACACAAAACTAAAATTTGAAAATGAGCAACATAGAGGTGAAATTGACATTAAAATATATTAACAGCACATTTATCTACTATAGTCAAATTATTATTAATAAAATATTTTTGTCATATGATTTCATCATTTTAAAAAAATTTGGCCTAACATCTTGCGAATCAATAACTAAAGAGCTGTTTTTGAGGTCTATTTATTTCAATGTTCAGATTTAGTGACACATTTGAAATGAATTCTCATTGGAATATGTAGATCTAAGTAGAACTTTATTGTTGGCTGCACCTAATCATTACATTTTCTTAAAATCCATCTGCCAGTAATGCAAAGGTTTTGTTGAAATGTATTTTTAAGTTCATATAGCATTACACTGTGCAGATACAACGTAACATACTTGGCCAATTTCATACTGATGCACACTTAGGCTATTTTATTCTTCTATTATAAACATATTACAACCAGTAATTTTATACATGTGTCATTTACCTTTGCAAGAATGTCTTGCTGGATCAAATGGTATAATTTTGTAATTTTGCTAGATATTTGCCAAATTGCCTTTCACATGGGCTTGTATCAGGAAGATAGTACACTGTGTCATCAAATGTTTAAATATTTGTCAATATCAGAGATGAAACGTAAGTTTTCGGCAGAGTTTCAATTTCAGCTTTTGTTATTTCAAGTTGCTTGAGCATCTTTTTTTAATCTTTAGAAGCCATTTGTGGATCTTTTCTTGTGAACTGTCTATAATATAAGAAAATGTATAGGTTTTTCTTCAAACATCTTTTTCAAAATGCTTTGAAATAGGGATTTTACAATCAGTGAGAAAATAGAGACAGACTGTCTTTTTCTTTTTCAAAAATGCTTGTTTAGCAAGTTTTCAGATAATAAGGTAAATATATAAAAGCCATTACATTCTTATATACTAAAAACAGAAAATGAGAATATGAAATAAAAAGAAACATTTACAATAGTACACAAACACAAATGAAGTATTTAAATTTAAACCTAACAAAATATGTGCAGAATATATATGCTGACAACTATAAGATAAATGAAAAATCAAAGAAGACCCGAGTAAATGAAAAGATATACCATATTCATGAATTTGAAGATTCAATATTATTAAGATTTAATCTATAGATTTAATTGAATTCCATTTAAAATCCCAGAAAATTGTTTGGAAATATCAATAAGAGGATCCTAAAATTTATATGAAAAGGCAAAGGGACTAGAATAGGCAAAGCTATTTAGAACAAAATTGAAGGACTCATACTGCTTGATTTTAGGACTTAATGTAAAGCTGTAGTAATGAGGACAGAATGATATTTGCGGAAAGATAGACACATAGAACAGTGGACCAAAATAGAGAGCCTAGAAATAGTGCTGCAAATGTGTAGTCAACTAACGTTTTATAAAGACGCAAATTAAATTCAATGGAAAGATGATGTTCCCTTCAACAAATGGTACAAAAATAAGACTGTCTATACGCAAAACAACAGGAACAACAACAAAAATAAAACAAGGTATATTGAAGAATACATACCTTATATCTCATATAAAAATTAATTCAAAATGGATCAAAACCCTAAATGTAAAAAGCGACACAATGAAATTTTTTAAGTAAACATAGAAAATGTGCAGGACCTTGGGTTTGGCAATGAAATTTTAGATACAACACCAAAAGCACAACCCATGAAAGGAACAATAACAATAACAAAACGATTAGTTGGACTCGATCAAAATTTAAATATTTTGCCCTTTTTAAGACATTGTTAACAGAATGAAAAGACTAGCTACAGATTGGAAGAAATATTTACAACTCAATGTCTGATAAAAGCCTTGTATTCAGAATATATAAAGGACTCTTGAAATTCAACCACAAGTAAGAATATGACCCAATTAAAAAATAAGCAAATGATTTAACCAGACACCTCAAAGAAGATATATAGATGACAAATAAGCATATGAAAACATGATTAATATCATTGTTACCAGGGAAGTGTAAATTAAAACCACAATTAGATATCACTTCTCACTAATTAGAATTGCTAAAATAAATTAGATGACACCAAATGCTGAAGACACAGAACCGTAAGAACTCCGATTTATCACTGGTGGAAATGTAAAATGGTACAGTCACTTTGGAAAACAGTTTGGCAG